CTAGAGATGTGTGTATATGTATGCCCATGGGGCTAGCTAGCTATCTAGCATACCAGAAACAGCGACTGTTTAATACACTCCAGGTGTATTTCTAGTACAGAGTGACACTGCCACCCCAATTTGTGTATTTTCTGAAGTTAGGTCCAGATACATGAGATGTTCTCAAAGGAAGGTATCCCTGAGGCCCCTGAGATATGAAATCTGAGGAAAACGCTTCCAGGTCACTAAAACAAGGATTTGTGGAATATTCTGTGTATCGGAACCCTCCTTCTCAAAGTCCTAAATAATTTTGGAAATTTCTTCCTGACTCAGTCCCTTTTATTGACCATTCACTGTGCAACATTTCTTGATTGCTGAAAATATATTATTCAAATTTCCAATGAGAGACCATTTGCAGCTTAAGGCCGAAAGGTTTCTTTAGTAAACTTCAATTTTGAATGTCCTGAGCTAATGCTGGTAATTGAACATATAAAAGATTCCCCTAAACTAGCTTCTCTTTGCCAATAGTTACAGACTCAGGTCAGGGAAACTTTCAGTAAAGCTTAGTGTAAGAAATTGAACAATAGGGGCGCTGGGGTGGCTCAGTTCATCAAGCATCTACCTTCAGCTCAGGTCACGATCTCAGGGTCCTGGGATCGAGCCCCACATCGGGCTCTCTGCTCAGTGGAGAGTCTACTTCTCCCACTCTCTCTGCCTCTCCCCCTGCTCATGCTCTCTAAGTCTTTAAAAAAAAAAAAAAACAATCTGAGCAGTGTATTTTTATGAACGTCAATTATTTCAATTTTTATTTTATAAGCCATTTTGTAGGAAACATCACTTGCTAACGACTGTCTTTTCTCTTCCCAGCGGGCCAGAGTAGTAGCAATATATGTATATTAGTGTCAAGATGCAAGGCTCTTTATACACGTGACCTGGTGTTCTTGTAGGCTGCTCCCCTAAAACTGTTAGTCATGTTTCACTACTTTCTTCATTTAAGGACACTCATTTTACCAGAGCTTTCTGAGTTATACCATACAAAAACCATCACTTGAAGCAGCAATGGCCCAAATGATAATTAGTTCACTCATAATCACTGATTACATATTCCTTCTTCACTCCGCTGAAAAACCCAAAAATTCCTTCCAAATCCACAAAACCCAAATAATTGAAATATTATAAACCTCTGAACTAGTACACACATGACAAGAGCATCCCAACACAAAAAGTTTTCTCCCCTTTCTTTTAAGAGCACAATTTTTTCTCTTATTCTGAAATTGTTTACAGTTTTTTTTAGAAAGCTAAGAAATGTACCACTTTCAGTGCCCAGGCAACATCTCTGGGAGCAGAAGGAAACTGCCTTATTTACTAGAAAGGCAAAGTTTGCGATCAGACGTCAGAGGCAGCTGGAGAGAAGAAGGGGCTCAAACCCAGGGAGAGCAGGTGAGGTGGCAGATTTTTAGAGGCACTCAGAATCCTTCCGGTCTCGGGAGGATTCACTTTTACCTGAGGATCTGGGGTGCACTACAGGGGAGTCTGTTACAATACGTGTTCTTACACACCCGTGGGAGAAGGATGGTGGGGGGAGGCTGTCCTGTGAGCTGTCACGCAGAGTTAACTCATGACTGAGCTTTTGTTGAGCTGGGATAAGAGATCTGTACGCTTGAAGCTTATCTGTTTCTATGCTTTGTATTTGTTTCTGTTTTCTTTCCTCTTAGATTCCTACCAAGGTGTTTTTTTGTTTGTTTGTTTTTGGGGTTTTTTTTGGTGTTTGTTTTTGGGAAAAGCTCTGAGGGGAGGGGAGCAAGAAGCATCAGAATGGCCAATGGTTGCAGCCATTCCAGAGGAGGATCTACTGTTCTACTGATGCAGGCAAGCATCTGCGGATGCAAAGAAAGCAGGCTGCGGGGAGCTCGGCAGGTGGGAGCTTTCCCTGAGTAGATACTGTAGTCGAGTGACCTCAGGAGAAGTGAGGATGCTTCCCTCTAGGACATGGAGAGTTGGGCCGTGCCAATAAACAGGGACCAAAGCCCCTGCTGGTGGTTCTTCACCCCAGCACTGAGCCTCATTGTTCCTCACTGACCTGAGCAGGGGCTGCGTGTCTGGAGTGCGGCAGTGCCCTGGCGCCCAACTCTGCCTCCCTCTGCCCTCTCCCCTCTCTCCTTTCAAGGGAGTATCTCGTAGATCGATCTTTTCAGCTTGTGAGAGGAGAGGCTGAATCTCCAAATACCAAGGTCCAAGTGTTGTTGAGAAGTACTAGTATAAGAGGAGATCCCCGGGGACAGGGTGCGGGGGCTGCAGAGTGGGCTTAGGCTTAGCGCTTGAATGACCACAGCCTTGGCGGACTGTCATTTGAGCTCCTGGCTCCAACTTCTTAGTTCAGATACGTTTTCCTCATGTGGGAGGCCCATGACTTATTGATCCCAGTGGATCATCCACTTTTAATGCCCCTTCTTTTAATGCTCAGACATCTTTCTCCTAACCTCCACCTTCACTCAGAGGCAAAGACTGGCCTGTAGAACAAGCCAGTGGGGTTAAGAGGCAAGGCTTATCCTTTCTTATTTTATCAGATTACTGACCATCTACTTGGGCCCCACGATCAAACTGTACTGCTGAAAATCTTAATCTACGGTGGATTTTTCCAGGTAGGGTGTATCCTGCAACCTTCCTTCTACTCATCACAGTTGAGGCAAAAATTAGTCTTTAAAAATGCTCAAAATGCAAAGAAAGAGAAAACAGATGAAGAATTCCGGGGTGTTCCCAGCCCCAAAGCGAACTTACCCAACTGAGTGGGCTGTTTGGGGCACAAAGGTAAGGATTTTCCATTTGAGCTTATTGGTCAAAAGAATTGTTGAAATATGAGTGTTATAGTGTAATATCCCATTGAACTGAGTATCCTGTAGGTCTATAGCCACAGATAGATAGGGCACCTGGTTGCAAAGTTTGAGATGACAATCATTTTTTGGTGGGGGGGAATGGGGAGGTTCAGGAAAAATTCCTGACTTTTTTCCCCTTCAGTATTTTGTGCATTGGAAAATATTCCTGAGAAACACCCTAGAATTTCAGGATAAAGACAATCTATTTTCAAAAATCCAAACAACAGTGACCCACTTAACAACAGACAGTTAATGGAGACTGCTGGGGGCAGAGCTGCCCAGTGAAAAGTTGTCAAGTGAGAATTTAATAGGGTAAGTATAAGTTTTTTGCTACACCCCAACTTTCACCACTTTAAAAGATATAATACGCTGAAATGATTAATATTTCTCATCAAAAAGGAAGAAATACAAAGATTTGTGGGAAGCTAGGCATCCCTTAGCACCAATGCTTAGGCAAGAGGCCAACAAGAGATACAATACGTGTTATGTCCTGAATGTTTGTTCCTACAAAACTCGTGTGTTGAAATCTATTGCCCAACATGATGGTACTAGGACATGGGGTCTCTGGGAGGTGATTAGGACAGGAGGGTGGAGCCTTCATGAGTGGGGTTAGTACCCTTACAAGAGACTCGAGAGAGAGCTCCCTTGCCTTGCCTCTTCCTGCTGCCATGGGACCCACCTAGGAAGTAGGCCTTCACCACACACCAAAGCTACCAGTATCTTGATTTTAGACTTCTGGGCCTCCAGCAAAAGGAGAAATAAATGTCTGTTGTTACAAGCTACCCCACTTATGGTATTTTGTTATAGTGGTCGGAACAAACTAAGGCAGCCCACATCCAGAGCTGTGTTCTTCTGTCTGTCTTACTCCAAGGCTTTCCATGGCTTATAATTTACTCTTTCCATTTTACATTAAGGCCCGCCTGCCTTAATAAAGGACCCCTGCCTTAAAAAGGGGCAGCCGTAAATGTATTGAAAATGAGCCAGAACCTTTCTTATTGAAGTACCCGTCTCTCGTCATGACTCTTGTATTCTTTTCCTGTCACCTACTATTGCTGTACGTCAGGGTACGACTAAGTCAAAGGATCTTTCCCTTCCTCCCTTGGGCAGGGGTGCAAGGCTATTTTTGGAAAAACACTTACATTATTACTTTGGTTGCTTTTATGGTCCTCTTGTAGGAGGGTGTCAGAGTGCAGGCCCACAGTCCTTTTTCTAAAATCTTTGGACCTGATGTGCTTGGAATTCAAATTTTTTTCAGATATGGCATCCAGAGCACATATTACACAAAACTTCCAGTTGTTGGGGGGGGGGGCGGTCTGAGCCAGCACCTTATAATCCAATACATTCATATTTCTGCAGTAAAATGTATGAATTTTCACAACAAAGACTGTAAAAGACCTCAAACCAGTTCAGGGCAAGCTTTGCTATCAGAGGAGTTTGTGTGTCAAATTTGCAAAAGAACTTTCAGTTTTCTGGACGTTTCGGGTTTTGAAACGGAGGGTAAGAGAGTATAGATCTGTATGAGGTTTTGAAAGAATTAAGATGAGTGATTTCAAAGAGTTAAGACAGCAAAATCTGTTGGTGTTTACAGAAAGACGAGGTGAGACCTACTGCACATCATCTAAGGGGCCTTTCAAAGGGATCTTTGAGACACAGAATTTGACCACGTTGAACAGGATTGAAGGTAGATGGGTCGTTCCTGTCCCTGAGCATCTGTCATATGACCTTGACACATTCTGTCCCCCAGAGGGAGCGCTATTGTCATGGAATCTGAGCTGCCTCACTGTTCCGCAGGGAAAGGGCCCAGACTGCTCTGAGCCTCACAGGAACATTCCCAGACTAGAATAAAAACCTCAACAAGGCAAGAGTGTTGGAGCCAATTGGCATGCTTGCGCTATGACTCCATAATAAAGTAATTACACAGTTTGATTTTTTAAGGATATAAAAACCAAAAAAGAAATGTGGGTTTTTTTTTTCTTAATATAGGGAAAACAATTCTGTTTAAAACCCTCATCTTTGGTGTTTTATAAAGGTGGGACTTAGAAGGTTCTATCTTGGGTCCTTGCCCTAGGGATTCTATCGGAGGGGATGGCTAAGTTGTCCTTGAGGTGAGGGGCTGTCGGCAGCGGAGACATAGAGAGATAGGCTTACTTGGCTTCCAGGGCCAACGCAATGATGCCTGCGGCCATGGGGGCCGAGGCCGAGGTCCCAGTGTGGTTGTCTGTGCAGCGCTGCCTCAGATCCGTAGTAATCTAGAAGACAGAAATGAAAAATTTAGGGTTCTGGGGTCAATGGGAGTCACATGCAAGTAGAAAGAAGTTCACTCCTAAAAGTAGAATAGAGGGGGTGTTGAAACAGTGGTTTTAAATCCCTTGTTCCTGCACTTCTGTGACCCCACCACTTCTAGAGAACTGCCTGTGTAAATCAACTTGGAAAAGAGAAGCATTTGAAAATCGGACTGCACTTCTGTTAAAACTGGGGTCAGGACTAGGGTGAGTCTTTGGCTTGGAACATAGGAGTTATGCCTCTGTGCCTTTCAATTTTACCCGCCCCCAAACCCCTGCTTGCTGCACCCCAGACCCAGCTCTAGTTAAAACTAAAGTTCTTTCATGACCCCAACATTTTTAATGATCAGATACGTTGAACCAACCACCAGACACTGAGGTAGGCACTGGAAGCTTGAAAGCACACGGTCTTATTCCAGAACGGATACCTTGGGAGAGGCGTAGGTTTTAAGCAAAGGCATGCTCTGCCATAGACGGAACATCGGTTTTTAGCACCCACAGAAATGGTGCACGGAAGAACCAAGACCTCCTCAAAGATTGAAGGTGAATACCAAAAACAAGGTTGAACCCAGGGTGCTTGAGGGGACGTTACGGCACTAAGGGCCTGCCAGTATAGTACAGAAGGAGATTCGCCATTTCTCTGGTTTTTGAAAGCAGAATGTGAGAACTAGATCAGTTTTTCCTCTTGGTTTGAATCCAGTTTACTTCAGCTGCGGCTGAATAACATTCCTATCAGCAAGAGCCGTGCTTTTTAACCTTTCTTTCATGATCATTTCACCCAGGGAGAAAAAGTTAAACTGAGATTCTCCTTAACAAGGCAAATGAGACACGCTGAGGTAAGATTTTGCAAACCGGTGAAATAGCCAAGATTTAAAAAACCTGCCCTCCCCAACAAGCGTCTACTTTTGCCTCCTGGGGGCTGATATCGCTCCGGCTGGGAACGCACAAGCCTCAGGAGATGAGCGGGTGCTCTCCCTGAAGTTACTGGAAGACGGTGGTTAAGCTTTGTTTGGCATCAAGACAAATAGGAAAACTGAGGTGAAAGGTCATCAGAAAGGTGTGGGGGGATAAAGGCAGCTGAAAACAAAGTCCTGTTGTTCTAAGGTGTATCCTTCCAGAGGAGTGTGGAGATTGGTTGATTCGGAAAGAAATCTGATCTTCACAGGAAGAAAGTGCTGCATAACTCCTCAGAAATGAGCCCTTCCCTCAAAGTTTCCTCAGGGTCCCCTGAGGATGTCTGAATGGACTCTTTAATTATCTGCTATGGATCTACACTGACACGCTGGCTGACCTAGTTTCACACAGGGCCATCAGTTCTGTCTTTTGTTCCTTTTGACACTTTGAATGTCACCAGACTATCGATACCAGATAGGCATTGATGCCCAAGGATTGGCAGAAAGCACAAAAATATATAGAACCATAAGACATGGTGGTGGGAGAGAGGAGGCAAGTCTTACCCTCTTTTCTTGGAATAACTGAGTGGTGGCCAAGAGCCCCAACATTGTGTTTGGCAAGCAGAGGTTATTTCTTGATTAACAGATCTGATTAACTAGCCATCTTCTGAACCTCCATGTCGGATGCTTGCAAGATGTTTGGGTAAACAGAGCCCTACCCACTTCTGCATAAGAAACTTTCTGGATTTTTAATTATTGACTTTAAAAAGGTATTTCTTTGGTTTTTCTGTTGAGGGAAAAAGCACGTAACACAAATTTACCCTTTTAACCAACTTTTCAGTGTCCGGTACAGTATTGTTAACTATATGCACGCTGCTATACAACAGATCTCTCTAGAACATTCTTATCTTGTATGAATAAAACTCCTTCCATTAAACAACTCCTCATTCTTCCCTCCTCCCAGCCTTTAGTAACCACCATTCTACTTTCTGTTTCTATGAGTTTAACTATGCTAGGTACCCCATATAAACACAATTGTATCGTATTTGTCTGTGTGTGTGTGTGTGTGTGTGTGTGTGAGAGAGAGAGAGAGACAGAGAGAGAGAGAGAGAGAGAGAGAGAGAGACACTGGCTTTTTCACTTAGAATAATGTCCTCAAGTCTCATTCTGTTG